CTTCTTTCTTCTTCCTCTTCTTTCCTCTTTCTCCTTCCTCTTCTTTCTTCTTTCTCTTCTTCTTTCTTTCTTCTTCTTTCTTCTTCTTCCTTCTTCCTTCTTCTTCTTCTTCTTTCTTCTTCTCTTTCTTCTTCTTCTTCTTCTTTCTTCTTCTTCTTCTTCTTCTCTTCTTCTTCTTCTTCTTCCTCTTCTTCTTCTTTCTTCTTTCTTCTTCTTCTTCCTCTTTTCTTCTTCATCTTCTTCATCTTCTTTCTTCTTCATCTTCTTCTTCTTCTTTCTTCTTCTTTCTTCTACTTCTTCTTCTTCTTTCTTCTTTTTCTTTCTTTCTTCTTCTTCTTCTTCTTTCTTCTTTCTTCTTCCTCTTCTTCTTCCCGATTTTCCCATCATTGCTGGGAAAATCGACCATGAATTTTCCAACATGCCCGATAAAAAAAATGTGCAAAAACCCCGAAAAACGGCTGACCAATTAACCCAATAATGGTACAAAAATCAGGCAATTTTTTTTTCCGACCAAAAAAATCGGCCGATTTTGGACCCGTCTATGCCGGCCACACACAGGATTCCTTTCCCAGCGATTGTCCTACGCGTGCTCCGCCTACAATTGTTCTCCATTCATCTCTTTTAGGTTCATTGCTGTTTTCCCTTCTCTGCATACATCGTTTTTGTGTTCCCAGCGACTCTTCTGATTGGCCGTGGTACCGTTTCCCGTGTGTAGCGTCCTCCACACTTGCGATTCTCCTCTTGTGGTTTCTGGCACACTCCCAGTTACAGGCGGAGCAATTAATTATGAAAGAGGAAAAGAATGTCATTATCGTGTGTGATAAATCCTCGCTGCTCTCGTGTACTAATCACTTTCCCACTTTCACAGTTCCTGACAGGACCGGGCTCCAGCCTGCTCTCCGCCGTGCAGCACCGCGCAGCCTCGCCCACAGGAGCCGCCACCCGCAGCAGGTCAGGTAACTTCGCCTTTCTCTTTATTTCTGATATTTGAGTGAAGCGCAGAGAGTTTGTGGATTGCCAGGAGGGGTTCCCACATCTTGAAGTGACTGGTAGGTGTGAACATGTGGATTTGTCTTCAGTTGATGGTGGAGAAATGCTGAGCCAACCCAGCGGGATTTTTTTGTGAGCAGTTGATGATTGGGGAGGGGGGGGGCTGGGGGATGGGGGGGCTCTGGGGGTACCCTTGTAGGATCTATTGGTGGTCTGATGTGGTCACATGGCTGGAGTGGTGACACATTTATTTCCTGGTGTAGCAATTCGGCTTCCTGTGTCACCGCTCTGCCTCCAGCCTGCTAAACGGACAACAAAGTAGGATGTGGTGGAGTGATCTTCATGGCTGTGCTGTTGGCAGAGGTGTGTAAATCACTAGACTGGCCATACAGGAGATGGAGAGATACAAAGTAACATTGTTTATAAACATCGATCAGACGGGAGATAGAGAGATACAAAGTAACATTGTTTATAAACATCGATCAGAGCGGGAGATAGAGAGATACAAAGTAACATTGTTTTATAAACATCGATCAGACGGGAGATAGAGAGATACAAAGTAACATTGTTTATAAACACCGATCAGACAGGAGATAGAGAGATACAAAGTAACATTGTTTACAAACATCGATCAGACGGGAGATAGAGATACAAAGTAACATTGTTTATAAACATCGATCAGACGGGAGATAGAGATACAAAGTAACATTGTTTATAAACATCGATCAGACGGGAGATAGAGATACAAAGTAACATTGTTTATAAACATCGATCAGACGGGAGATAGAGATACAAAGTAACATTGTTTATAAACATCGATCAGACAGGAGATAGAGAGATACAAAGTAACATTGTTTATAAACATCGATCAGACGGGAGAGAAACAAAGTAACATTGTTTATAAACATCGATCAGACGGGAGATAGAGAGATACAAAGTAACATTGTTTATAAACATCGATCAGACGGGAGATAGAGAGATACAAAGTAACATTGTTTACAAACATCGATTAGATGGGGGATAGAGATACAAAGTAACATTGTTTATAAACATCGATCAGACGGGAGATAGAGAGATACAAAGTAACATTGTTTATAAACATCGATCAGACGGGAGATAGAGATACAAAGTAACATTGTTTATAAACATCGATCAGACGGGAGATAGAGATACAAAGTAACATTGTTTATAAACATCGATCAGACGGGAGATAAAGAGATACAAAGTAACATTGTTTATAAACATCGATCAGACGGGAGATAGAGAGATACAAAGTAACATTGTTTATAAACATCGATCAGACGGGAGATAGAGATACAAAGTAACATTGTTTATAAACATCGATCAGACGGGAGATAGAGATACAAAGTAACATTGTTTATAAACATCGATCAGACGGGAGATAAAGAGATACAAAGTAACATTGTTTATAAACATCGATCAGACGGGAGATAGAGAGATACAAAGTAACATTGTTTTATAAACATCGATCAGACGGGAGATAGAGATACAAAGTCACATTGTTTATAAACATCAATCAGACGGGAGATGGAGAGATACAAAGTAACATTGTTTATAAACATTGATCAGACGGGAGATAGAGAGATACATTGTTCCTTTTTATCAGATCTATTTCAGATAAAAGGGAAGCGCTTCCATCTGCATAAGTTAGTTAAAAACAACCAGAAAAGTAAAAAAAGTTTTTAATTTTTTTTAACCCCTAATACGTCGCACAGAGTGGGTGCCTTTATTGGGCTGTGGTGCCCAGAGCCAGTAGACATGGCGCCTGATCTTGGAGCACTATGACACGCTATGATTGGCTGCACAGTGGTGACGTCATTGAATTCAATGCCTGTTGGCTCCCAGTCATCAGTGAGTGACCACAAGCTGTCAGTGACAGCTCGGTTACAGTTCTGGGAGGCCAGTGAATGCCCACCCACCTCTCCCCGCATATACTGCCAGATAAACAGAAATGTAGAGCGTGTCTCTGGTGCGTAGGTCATGAAGGGGTTAATACCGGAGTGCGGAGGGTGTGACGTTGTCATAGACGTGTGATTAATAACATTAGGAAATACGGATTACGGATATCGTTCCAATTGTGATGTCACCAGCAGGGCTGCAGACAAGGGGGTACCACCAGTCCTCCTGTACGGGGCCCAGGCTAGCAGAGGGGCCCAGGCAGCTGGGTGAATCGGACATGGGCGGGGGGGGGGTGATCGGCACATCAAGGGGGTAATTACTGGAACTGATCCCCTGTATGGCTCTCCCTGCAGCAGCTGAAAGCCGGCTTCTTCTCCTCTCCCTCCCACTGGTTTTCAGCTGCTGCAGAAAAAACCATACAGGGGATCGGTTCCAGTAATTGCCCCCCCCCCCCCCTCACCCATCACCCTCCCTGTGCACCATAAGTTTCCCCCTGCTGCCCAGGCCCCCCTGTGTGCCCCCACAGTGCTCTCCTTCCCACCGACAGCTGCAAGCACACAATAGGATCCTTCAGGATGGAGAGTGGGGGAAGGGTCCAGTAAATATCACATTTACCAGCCCTCTTCCTTTCCTGAAAGAACACAATGAGTAATCTGTACCAATCACTCACTGTGTTCATTCATAACTGTGTTCATTCATAACTGCCATAAACAGTGTTATTTTTTTTTTTGGGGGGGGGGGGGGGCCTGTCAGGTTGGCTGTATGGGGCCCCGTGGTTTCTAACAAAAGCCCAGGTCCATACACCGCATATACCCCCCCACCCTCGTCTGATGATGTCATAGATTTATACTACTGTATAGGAAACTTTGGGATCATGTGACCTGCAGGGGGACCACCTCTGAGGAGCAGGCAGGGGACTTCCCATTGTTTACTATTAGAAAAGAAATGGAGCATATTGTGCTGTTTAAATGCCTTCCTGTTCAGGGTGGAGACATTTGTGTCATCTGTCCCATAAATCATTACTTGTCTGCAAACATCCAATCTCCATATCTGATTACCTTTCTAATTCCTTCATTAAGTCTGATGGTGATTTGTGGTGACATGGTGTCAGTGGCTGATATCCGTGATGAGTTGGAGACATACCCTGAACACTGCGATCATTACTGCCAGCATTCCTCCACCCTCTTCCAATCACATCTGTCAGTTATGGGTGGAGGAGACAGACGGCCAGCAGAGGGGGCGGGGTGGACGTCGCAGTATATTCATGTCTAGGGGGAGCAATGCAGCTCTAAGTGGGGGCTCTGTGTTCAGTTTTGGCTGGAGAATATATTTCATGTGAACTTAACTTCCCTCCCCAGCAGTACATACTCTCCTTCCCTGTACTCCCCCGCCACTCTAGTCAGGTAGAGGCATACCCAGGTGCCTGGGGGCCCCATGGTAATCTTGCATTACATCGTACTTGCCAACTGTCCCGGAGCTGTGACAGTCACGCTTTTTACTAAGCCTGTACTGTGCCCTCCTGACCCCCCCTGTACTGTGCCCTCCTGACCCCCCCTGTACTGTGCCCTCCTGACCCCCCCTGTACTGTGCCCTCCTGACCCCCCCTGTACTGTGCCCTCCTGACCCCCCCGTACTGTGCCCTCCTGACTCCCCCTGTACTGTGCCCTCCTGACTCCCCCCTGTACAGTGCCCTCCTGACTCCCCCTGTACTGTGCCCTCCTGACTCCCCCCGTACTGTGCCCTCCTGACTCCCCCCGTACTGTGCCCTCCTGACCCCCCCTGTGCACTCCTGACTCCCCCCGTACTGTGCCCTCCTGACCCCCCTGTACTGTGCCCTCCTGACTCCCCCTGTACTGTGCACTCCTGACTCCCCCTGTACTGTGCCCTCCTGACTCCCCCTGTACTGTGCACTCCTGACTCCCCCTGTACTGTGCACTCCTGACTCCCCCTGTACTGTGCACTCCTGACTCCCCCTGTACTGTACCCTCCTAACCCCTGTACTGTGCCCTCCTGACTCCCCCCCTGTACTGTGCCCTCCTGACTCCCCCTGTACTGTGCCCTCTTGACTCCCCCTGTACTGTGCCCTCCTGACTCCCCCCCAGGGGCGGACTGACCATTTGGAAACTCGGGCACTGCCCGAGGGCCCGGGGTCAGTAGGGGGCCCCATGAGATGCCCCTGGTACCTTTTTCATAGGCTTTTTTTGAGTTTGGGCAAGGACACAGGGGCCCCATGATCCCCTATTGCCCGGGGGCCCCATGAGTTGTCAGTCCACCCCTGCTCCCCCCGTACTGTGCTCTCCTGACTCCCCCTGCACTGTGCCTTCCTGATGCCAGTATTGTGCTCTCCTGACTCCCCCCATACCGTACCCTCCTAACCCCTGTACTGTGCCCTCCTGACTCCCCCCCTGTACTGTGCCCTCCTGACTCCCCCTGTACTGTGCCCTCCTTACTCCCCCCACATTGTGCCCTCCTGATCCCAGTACTGTGCCCTCCTGATCCCAGTACTGTGCCCTCCTGACTCCCCCTGTACTGTGCCCTCCTTACTCCCCCCCTGTACTGTGCCCTCCTGACTCCCCCTGTACTGTGCCCTCCTGATCCCAGTACTGTGCCCTCCTGATCCCAGTACTGTGCCCTCCTGACTCCCCCTGTACTGTGCCCTCCTTACTCCCCCCACATTGTGCTCTCCTGATCCCAGTACTGTGCCCTCCTGACTCCCCCTGCACTGTGCCCTCCTGATCCCAGTACTGTGCCCTCCTGACCCCTGTACTGTGCCCTCCTGATCCCAGTACTGTGCCCTTCTGACTCCCCCTGTACTGTGCCCTCCTGACTCCCCCCACATTGTGCCCTCCTGATCCCAGTACTGTGCCCTCCTGACCCCTGTACTGTGCCCTCCTGATCCCAGCACTGTGCCCTCCTGATCCCAGTACTGTGCCCTCCTGATCCCAGTACTGTGCCCTCCTGACTCAGCTAATAATGGAAACTTCTATTCCTCCTACCACTCCATCCCCCACAGTTACTACCTTTTGTACCACTAGCCCCTCCCTCTTAGATTGTAAGCTCCCAGGATCAGGGCCCTCCTATCCCTCTTGTATAGAACTGTATTGTTGCTGTATTGTCTCCCATTATATTGTAAAGTGCTGAGCAAACTGTTGGCGCCATAAATCCTGTATAATAATAATATATATAAATCCTGTATAATAATAATTTACACAAAGTGCATTATTGTGCGTCACTTGTGCGTTGTGTTCTTGACTTCTTAGCCCCCCCCCCCCCAAAAAAAAAAAGACGCAGGTGAAAAGCAGGTAAGGCGTTACCATGCAAGGTGCGTTGGGACGCCATTACGAATGAACGTCACCGCAGTGCCACAACGCACGCATGGCAGTGTTGCATGCATTCCTTCAGCCCAAAAAATGCGTGAAAGTCATGCCAGGAGTCACTTTCCCGTAGGCGTCGCCGTGATCGCAGGGTGAGGAAACGTGATTCATGGTTTCTCCTCTCGGATACATATAGAGAATCCGATTGTTACAAAATATCAGAGAGTATCCGGTGTCACAGCAGAGTCACCCGGCGCTCAGCCAGGCCTCTGATGTCACAGCGGCAGATCATTGGCACGGCGCGGTATCGATACGGCCGGGAGGATGATGTGGTTGGCAGCGAACTGACGGTGAGACTGAGCATGAGCAGAACCCTCCTGTAGATCACGTCTCCTATCCGGAGACTATGGATGTGAAATATTTCCTCTGGACAAGCTCAGGATTCCTGTGTGTGTGTGTGTGTGTGGGGGGGGGGGGGGGGGGGTCATTCAAAATGCAGAGGTGTAATTACCAAGACTTTTTTTTTCACCCTCAGAGAATAGGTGTAGATAACCCCCCCTTGTCTCCACCCCCTGCCCACCTCCGAGCACCATCCCTTGGTCCCACCCCCTACCCACCTCCCAGTACCGCCCCTTTTAAAGAAGCAAGTATCATTTTGCGGAGCTACGTCACTTGTATGGAATTTGATATTGATAATAAGAAAGGCACCCCGGAACAATAGATCCCCATCAGCAACAATAGATCCTTCCCAGCAACGAGAGCTCTCCCAGGAACAATAGACCTTCCCCAGCAACAACAGACCCTCGGCAACAAAATTCCCTACCAGCAACAATAGATCTCCCAGCAGCCAGTATCAATAGGCCCCTCCCTCAACAGTAGACCCATCCCAGCAGCAATTGAAGCCCTGGCAACAACAGATTCCCCACCAACAACAATAGACCTTCCAGCCAAACAATAGACTCCTACAACAATAGACTCCCACCAGCAACAACAGCCCCCTGCAAAAAAAACACCCCACCAGCAACGATAGATCTTCCAGCCAAACAATAGACCCCCACCAACCACAACAGCCCCTGCAAAAAAAACACCCCACTAGGAACGATAGATCTTTCAGCCAAACAATAGACCCCCACCAGCAACAATAGTCCCCTGCAACAAAACACCCCACCAGCAACGATAGATCTTCCATCCAAAACAATAGACCCCCACCAGCAACAATAGCCCCCTGCAACAAAACACCCCACCAGCAACAATAGATCTTCCAGCCAAATAATAGACCCCCACCAGCAACAATAGCCCCTTGCAACAAAACACCCCACCAGCAACGATAGATCGTCCAGCCAAACAATAGACCCCCACCAGCAACAATAGCCCCCTGCAAAAAAAAACACCCCACCAGCAACGATAGATCATTAAGCCAAACAATAGACCCCCACCAGCAACAATAGCCCCTTGCAACAAAACACCCCACCAGCAACAATAGGTCTTCCAGCCAAACAATAGACCCCCACCAGCAACAATACCCCCTTGTAACAAAAACATCCCAGCATCAACAATAGACCTTCCAGCCACACAATAGACTCCCACAACAATAGACCCACATCAGCAACAATAGCCCCCTGCAACAAAACACCCCACCAGCAACAATAGATCTTCCAGCCAAACAATAGACTCCCACCAGCAACAATAGCCCCCTGCAACAAAACACCCCACCAACAATAGACCTTCCAGCCAAACAACAGGCCCCCACAACAATAGACCACCACCAGCAACAATAGCCCCCTGCAACAAAACACCCCACCAGCAAAAATAGATCTTCCAGCAGCCAGTATCGATTGACCCTCTCTCAATAGTAGATCCATCCCAGCAGCAATTGAATCTCCCAGCAACATAGGACACCCCAGCAACACTAGATCTCCAGTAACAACAATAGACCTCCTAGGAAAACAATAGGCTTCCCCACAACAATAGACCCCCACAAGCAACAATAGACCCAACTCCAACAAAATACCCAACCAGCAACAATATCTCCACCCCAGCAACAACAGATCCCCAACAGCAACAATAGTTCTTCCAGCAGCCAGTATCAATAGACCCCTCCCTCAACAGTAGATCCATTGCAGCAGCAAAAGTAGTTCAATCATAGCAGCAGTTGACCCCCAGCAGCATAAGACCCCCCAGCAACAAAAGATCCCCACCAGCAACAATAGACCTCCCATGCAAACAAAAGACCCCCAACCAGCAACAATAGATCCCCTGCAACAAAATACCCAACCAGCAACAATAGATCCACCTCAGCACCATAAGACCCCCCACCAGCAACAATAAATCTCCCAGCAGCCAGTATCAATAGACCTCTCCCTCAACAGTAGATCCATTGCAGCAACAATTGACCTCCCCAGCACCATAAGACCCCCTAGTAACAACAGATCCCGTACCAGCAACAGTAGACCTTCCAGGCAAACAAAAGCCGCCCTACAACAATAATAGATCCCCTGCAGCAACAATAGACCCTCCAGAATACCCCAGCAGCACCCCATTCAGTGCTGCGTTCCTCCACGGTCCCACTCCCTGGTAATTACAGCCTCATATCAGGGAGCGCCTTTCATGCCTTCACTGCGGTCCTGCTTTCACTTCCCACCAGAACCCTGTCTGCATGGAGTTTGTGTGAGTTTTCCTCCATGTGCTCCACCATCCCAGGGTCAGGCTCTTTGCCCCAGAGGGTGAATGTGGGGACAATTGGATGTCATCTGCCCCGGGACAGAGACAGTGAAAACCTATAAACAGAGCCAAACACCCGCATCAGTCGGGGGGGGGGGGGGGGTGACATAGAGTACAGCACACTCCATACCGAGGCCCCACCCACAGAGCTGACGCTCCCACTGCCAGCCTGATTTCAGCTTTCATCTGGAAAGAAGTTCTACAATGCTCTCCTGACTGTTGAAGCAGCAGTGGGTGTGCCAGCGGTGCCGATTGTTGGTTTTCTCTCAGCAGCAGAATGGAAGTCTCCAGTAGAGGTGCCCTGTTGGTGTTCTGGGTGGAGTCCTGTTTTTGGTACCATACCAGCAGGCATGCATTATGGTGTGCGTTGTGCACCTGTTCTGAGGGACTCACTGCGGTCCTGCCTTCTCTTCAAACCAGGACCCTGTCTGCATGGAGTTTGAGTGAGTTTTCCCCCCATGTGCTTCACCATCCTCAGGCTATTTGCCCCGGAGGGTGAATGTGGGGACAATTGGATGTAATCTGCCCCAGGACAGAGACAATGGAAACCAGGGGCGGACTGACCATTCAGACACTCGGGCACTGCCCGAGGGCCCGGGGTCAGTTGGGGGCCCCATGACATTCCCCTGGTACCTTTCATAGGCTTTTTTGGGAGTGGTTTGAGTTTGGGTGAGGGCAGGGGCCCCATGATCCCCTACTGTCCGGGGGCCCCATGATGACATGCCCCTGGTACCTTTCATAGGCTTTTTGGGAGTGGTTTGAATGCGGGCGAGGACACAGGGGCTCCATGATCCCCTATTATCCGGGGGCCCCATGAGTTGTCAGTCCGCCCCTGGTGGAAACCTATAAACAGCGCCAAACACCCGCATCAGTCGGGGGGGGGGGTGACATAGCGTACAGCTCACTCCATACCCAGGCCCCTCCTCCTGTTCATAACTGCCCAATAATAAACCTCCTCCACCTTCAGCCCACAGAGCTGCCACTCCCACTGCCAGCCTGATTTCAGCTTTCATCTGGCAAGAAGTTCTACAATGACCTCCTGACTTTTGGGTGTGCCAGCGGTGCCGATTGTTCGCGGTCTCTCCGCAGCAGAATTGGAAGTCTCCAGTAGAGGTGCCCTGTTGGTGTTCTGGGTGGAGTCCTGGCACCCTGGCTGTTTTTTCTTGCTTCTGTTAGCGGTTTATTGCTGCGTGTTTTTCTTGGCAGGGCTGGCGACTCTGTAATCTGCTCATATTATTATTATTATTATTGCTGTGTGTCAATATCACAAAGAGCGCGGAG